AAAGGATGAGTGATTTTAAAGAAGAGAAGAAAGAATGATTTAAGTGTTTTTGGATTTAAGTACAAGTTCTGGTTTAAGTACAACAAGTGCTTTAAGTGTTTTCAGATTTAAGTACAACACATCAAGTACTCTTATGGTTAAGCCATTCAATAAGAGCTCCACTAGACTTGAACAATAACTGAGATTTAATTCTTGGAGACTAGTTGCATTCTCAATTGAGGAGGGAAATTCCACCAGACTTGAACAAGAACGAATATCTAATATCAAAAGATTAGTTGCATTCCCAATCGAGGAAGGAAGTACCACCAGATTCGAACAATAACTGAGATTTAAGATGTCGAGATTAGTTGAATTCCCAATAGAGGAAGGAAGCACCACCAAATTTGAACAATGATTGAGATCTAATTTTGGGAGATTAATTGCATTCCCAATAGAAAAAGGGAGCTCCACCAAACTTGAACAATGACTAAGATCTAAGTTTCGCAGACTAATTGCATTACCAATCGAGGAAGGAAGTTTCAGCAGACTTGAACATCCACCGAGATTCAAATATTGGAGATTAGTGGCAGTTGATATCGGAAGCTCCTTCAGATTTTCCGAATAACTCAAATTTATCCTCTTGAGATTTCGAAGCAGCTGTACAAACAAATAAAGACATAATTCATGAACACGTTGATACACATAGCAGTTGAACATATAAAAAAGAAACATAGCATGCTATCCAACTTTCCTTTCAACACCTTCAAAAACTACATGCAATTTACCAAAAAAATAAGGTACTTTTGAAAAACAGAACTCATAAAACTTTTAAGTTCACAACTTCAGATTCATATCTGCCAGTATTGGCCTTAACAGAATCTGAAGATCCTTTAAACAATCTTAACCTTATTGTGACACAATCACGAATCATTGTCATAAACTCCTCCTCAAGGTATCGATAATCAATCTCTGTTCTACCGACGCTTGAAGGTACTGAGACTGCCAGTTTCTTCTTTAAAGGGTTGTGTCGATACATCCGATAAAGCCGGGAGCCTAGAAACACTTCCTTTCCCTTTTCTAGCATTTGGGCCAATCACTTCTATCATGTATCTCCACCCATCAATCGGTCTTCTCCTACTGAATATATGTTGCTTTATAAAACTCGCTATCTGCACATCCAATCATATTTGAAGAACAACAATGAGATCTAAAAAGTCTCGAGCTTTTATCGTCAAAGATAGCAAGCCCCTTACATCGAAGAAGTAAAAGGGTCAAATTTGAATATGTTGAAGATCGATGATCACTGATATTGTGTAGTACCTGAAATTTGCAGAAGGCAGTCCGGCGATCAAATTCTTGGAGTAGAATGTCTTCTTCTCTTTGTGACATTTCCCATAGATTACCATCTTGTTCTTTTGTCGTTGATTCCCAACCATCAGGCTTGTTCTTCAATTCCGATCCACTTGAGACTTCCAATTTGTCGAAATCATGGTCTACCGAGTCGAAAATCCTGAGTTTTGTAACCATCAAAGATCAAAAATCACCAACAAGCACACACATCTTCAAACACAATCTCATACAAACATAACTAAATGAACACAAGCAAATCACAATCCTGTTCAGGGCTTTAGCTAAAAACCTAACCATGTAAGTGAAAAACTTCATTCAAATCACCAAGAAATCCTCAGAGCAATCTCTATATGTTCAATCACAAACAAATCATACTACTGTTCCATGGATTGAGCTAAATCACAAACCCTAATTGAAAAATTTTAAGCAGAGAGAGAATCATTACTCTGAGCAACTATCGAGAAGCCTATCGATATCATCAGCTCCACCACCAGATCCATCATCTCCCAACTTAGCTTCTTCCAATTTCTCAATCTCCTTAACCCATAAAGAAGCATGAACCCTTTGCTTCTTCAATCTATAATCCTTCTTCATCGTCTCCAAACTATAAAGCGACGATTCTTCTTCTCTAATCTCTTCTTTCTTCTCCTCTTTCCCACTCTTCCCTCTCCTCTCGTTCCAATGCTCGTTCATATCCTCAACGAACGCCTTTGCCTCCACATCGATTTCCTCGATCGCCGGCGTCGATTCAGCCGTCGACGGGAAGTTCACGTCGGTTTCCCATGGTGCTCGACTCTTATCAGTGAGATCTTCAGGTAACCAAGCTGATTCCCAAGCATCGTTCCATTTATCGTCATCATTTCGAGATTTTGTAGACATGAAATCGACGAGAATCTTCGGGGTTTTGAAAAGGGTTTGCGAAATTGGATAATGGGTCTTTGTTCTGGAGATCAATCCGACTACACGATGAAGAGAATTCATCTTCTTAGTACGAAAAATGGAAGCTTTTTCTACAGAGCGATAATGGCGTTTTCATATATGAGATAATGAATCTGATTAGTAGAAAAAAGAAGAACGCTTAAACCCTGCGAGATTTAGATTAATGGGCTTTAATTATATGGGCCCAATCAAATAAATTGGCTTTGCTTTTAAAATATTTCGTTAGCATCACGTAACTGGCATGTGAATTGATGAGGTCAAAACAGAGAAAACAGGGGACTCTGTCTGAAAACAGATTTACGAAGCAAATTTTAAGGAATACAAACAGATTTTTGCAAGAGTGTATGTAAATTGATGAAAAACAATTAAAAAAATGAGTTTCAGATTATAGGAAAGATCCAAGAACTTGGGTTTTGGAAAACCTCCAAGAATGGTGGAACCTACATGATAGTTAGGAGCCTAGGACTGTGGTTCACATATTTCCATGAAAAGATAACGTTAGTCAATGGAGTCAACGTTTTCTAGTGTGAACATTCTCAGTCAATGGAGTCAACGTTTTCTGTCATTTGATATACAAAGCCTCTTTGTTAATACCTCTCTTATCTCTTCAAAGCTCTGTGATCTTAAATCTTCTTTCTATCGTAAGCAATGGATTTTTACCTTTTCCTTGGAACTCTTGCTGCTACGCTCTTGGGTTCAATATTTTATATGGTTTATGGAAAGATCAGAGTCCAAGAAAACCAAATCATTG